TACTAGTTGTAAATGAGTAGTGTCTGTTGCTTGTTGATCATAACATAGAGGGGATTTTGGGTGTGTGCTACACGAGGGACAGAACATTAGGGAAATGTTACAATGATTTGCCAGCTTTCTACTGCCGAAACTTCTGTTTAGACTGTTACAAATGAATAAAACTTAGAGCACACATGACTTCACATTGCTCTCAGTTGTGCCATAGGCTGAACTACTATGGTTAATTCTAGAATTAAATGAAGGCATGAAAGTGGGTAATATGCCATAGACGGTGGGTAACATGCCATACTTTTTCCCACTGTTTCCCATAGATTTGCACCAGATAGTGTTGTGTACACCTAAGGAGATAGTCTCGTTCCCAGATTTATTTTTATCTCAGATATATAGAATTTTTTTATCAGTTATTATACTGAATGTAAGTAATATCAGGTGAAGTATGTGTGAAAATTATAGAGGAGAGAACACGAATCAAAACAAATGCAGTGTACAAGAGTGTATACATATTAAGATTGTTCTGATACTGTGTTTGTGCTTTGTGTAGTTTATATTAGTAGTTCAGAGATTGAAATGATGGATTTTAAAGCTATTTATCTACTTAACATATTATTTAAATAAGAAAGTTAAAGTATTTATAGCTAATAATTGAGTGTGATCACTCAATTTTTTACTCATTTAAACTTCAAAATAACTGCATACAGTGCTGATTTATCTCATTTTAAAATGTTTTCAACAATAAGGTGAATTGTGTACTAGTTTATGCCAGTGGCTTTCAAACATTTTAGTTTGTTCATTTCTAAAACTTTTCTATCAAAGGACTCCTATGGAGTCCTCTCACATATGGAAATTGCCTTTAGCATTTATGAAATGTCCTCCCATAATTATTTTCCCCAGCAGCAGTCCCTAGGGCAGACCAGGGACCTCCAGTGTCTGCCAAAGAGATACTAAAAGCAACAATTTTAAGTAGTTATCTCAAATACATATTTTATATTTCTAGATTTACACTTTTGGTTTTCTCCATTCCTGTAGACCCTGAAAAATGAATAGAGAAGTGACAAATATCAAACAGCAAGATTTCCACACTTTTATTTTCACAAGTCTCTTATTATCTGCCTGTTAGTGCAATTTCTACTCAAATATTAATAAGCACCCTGTCAAGCATAGCTAGGATTTCTGATGAGGTAAATATCATATTCTGCTACTGCTAGTTGAATTTCCAACAGGACATGTAGCCTGAAACTGATAACACTGTTAACTTTCCTACCCATCCAAAAGGAAATCAGATTTTAGACAATAAATGAGTATGGGGCATCATTAATGCATTATACATTACATAATTTTATCCCCTGAAACACTGAACTCTGACTACCTTGTGGTGAAGAACAGCAACAACCTGTCTGCACAAAAGAGAGTGAGGAATGTTATTCCAGTCTCTAGAGCAAGTGTCTTGTTCCTATGAAATATGTCTTGTAGTGAAGCCCTTGAATTTTGAAAGCACAAGCACAGCAAACCAAATGTATAGATGTCTTCTCTAAAACAACATCTGGATTACTGCAATTACTGTATTACTTCAGTAGATGAATGATCAAGTAATCAATGCTAAGAGATGAACCTGTAGTTTCAAAGAATCTCACTCTTTTTATTGTTTCACCACCAATCTACCTTTTCTACTAGCCTCCCCACAAAAAACAGATTAATGTTGTTGCAAGCACAGGATGTAATTCCATAGTCAGAGATCAGTTTACATTGGAAGCAGTTAAATGCTCCCTCATGTTATCTGTTACCTAAATTGTTATTTTATCAAAATATTATACTTCTGAAATATTTATCAGCTAAGGATTGAGTGCCTGATCACACATCCAGCCTCTGTAACAACTCTTCAATGATGATGACAGATATAACTTCATAATTGTAGGGCTGTCAGAGATACCAAACAATCTGAGTAATCTCCTGGTCCTTTTGGAGTAAATGGAAGTGTTTTCCACTGATTTTAATAGAGCCAGGATTTTACTTGTGAAGGCTCAGATTTCCACCAACAAAAACCATTAACCCAGGCAACAATCACCCCAAGAACTGGAATTAATTTATAATATTTTGTGAAACTAGCTGGATAGTCTTGTTTTTTTGATTGCTTGCTTTGAGATACATACAGAAGTGAAATATTTTTAATACAGACATAGCTAATTGAGTTATTGCATTTGGTTGCATCTTAGTGCCTGGAATATGAGCAGAGCTGTCTGTCTAAGTTGTGCACCCTGCACTCATGTGAGGTCCATGCAGTGCTACTGAACACAAGGAAACTGATGCAGCTCAAGAAGAATCTAGAGTCATATCTTGGTGGCACACCTCTGTATATTTGTCCTGCTTCCCTGAACATGCACTACTAGCTCTTGCCAGAGACACAGGATGTAAGGACCATGGCATTGCTGGCCAAACCAGAGAGAGGTTTCTGGGCTACATGGACTGTTGGTTCCTAAGGAAATAATCACAAATTTAATTGCATTGATATAGTGGGAAATTTATGTGAAAACTCAACAAGCTTAGGATAGTGCAGTCTGGCTTCAGAAACCAAGGGCAACTATAGATGCACATAGATGACTGAGAAGTACATACATGTGTTTACACTGAGTGAGCCCTGACTGTGTCATTTTTATTCACAAAAAGAAAGCTTAAGCGATGGTGATCTCCAAACTCAAAGCTAATAGCTGAATTCAGTTGCCTTTTAAATATATATGTGTCCACTCTCAGATTTTTTTAACAAATATTTATTCTTTCAGTTAGTGATATTCTCTTATATTCATATGGTGCTCAAATCTGGAATCATTCATCACACAGAGCAGCACCATGCTTCGAGACTAAGCCTATGAGAAACATGATATAATTATATCAATCAAACACTGTGGAATTAAGAGGATGTGTTCTGAAGAAAGACAATCATACTCTGATCCTTAGAATTTTTTAATAAATGAAATAACAGTCTTATCGTCCCGTAATGCTGGATGATACTTGCACTCAGTGAATAGACAGCTAGAGCTGTATTTCTTTCAGGAACAGTCTTGAATTAAAGCACTATTTCAAAATAAGAATGCCCAGGTTTTACCTCAGATTTTTTTTTTTCCCCCACATGTATTAGAGATAGTATAAACCTTTTGGCAAATTAATAATATCTGTGTACGGGAAAACGCGGAGGAAGGTCGAGGAGCTAGGCGATGGAAGCTAGCCAGACCGTCCCGTGGGAAAAGGAGCATCCGCTGGGCACGCTGACCCACAGTCACACGGCCGAGCCCGTGCCAGTGTGGCGCTGCACCTGGGCTCTGAATCGGAAGCAGCGATGAGCTCAATGTGCTTGCTGCGCATGTGTGCCGTCCATAAAAACCTCACATAGTGCCCCCCCGGCGTTCCTCGCCCTGGACCGACGCTCAGCGGTGCCAGGGACTCTCCCGCTCCATTAGTGCCTCGATCGGGAAATCGCTGGGGAACCCCCGCCCAGACGCAGAGGTAATAAACGCTCAGTATCGACCCTGGTGTGCCTTGTGTTTGTGCATCCGTCCCTGCCGGGAGTCCGGGCCGTGCCCCCGCCTTACCCTTACAATCCATGTGTGATGCCTTCACTGCACCTGTGCCTTTTCTTACAGTAAGACTTTTATCCAACATATGAGAGGGCATGAAGCCATCCTAACAGATGGACATGAGAAAAGAAAAACAGGAGGGTACATCTAAAATGTGCATCATGTGTTTTGCTGATGCTCAAAAATTTCTACTAGTAAAACATAAACATGAACTATCTGAATATGGTATTCAGTAGCTAGGAAAAAAAAATTAGCTCAGAACTGGGAACCTGACAAAGATTGTATTTTATCTGCAATCAGCCTTTTAGTTATGGTTTGGGAGATGATGGACTTTGCTGGCATTCATTCTGATTATAATTATTTCTAATATTTGCACATGTATTATTCTGTAATTTAATTGAAGTAATGATTTCATGGAAGTAAGGCACTCTTTTCAGAAATCAACTTCTTAAGTGAATGCTAGAGTTAGGTGCCCAAGTCCCTTTGTGGACTTATGGCCATTATTTAGGCATCATTTATGTCTTCAAAATCCTGTTCAATTGCTATAAAGATTGTAGACAGTTAAAGTCACTTACAGGGGTGTTCACATCGCTCACTGTAAGTGACTGTAGAATGGTTTCATTCAAATAAAATGTAGAGAGCAGTTCCCTGGCCTGTAACAGGCTATTGGCACTTTCCCTGACATTTTTTTGGTGAGGCATTGCTGGTTAAGTGGCCAGCCAGTTTTCCCAGGTGCTTTAGTTTCTGCAGGTTAAAGCCCTCGGGTTGCCCTGGCTATGTTCCCACCTACACCGTAAGGCTGCTGAACTCAGAGCAACCATCGCTTATGCAGAGACACTGCAGGATTCACAGACCTTTCCTAACCCCACTTTGTGTGTGTGGCCTGATCTGGTAGGCTGTCTAGCAGCCCTTATACTAACCCAAAACTCTGTGCACTTGTTTCCCATCTCTAAAATCCGGATAATAGCTATGCCTTTCTTCATTCATATGGATGCTGTTAGGGTAATGCACTGAAGACTGTAAAGCATTCAGGTACTATGGTAATGGAGGCCATATTGCACCAAAGATGACATAATAATATCTACTTCAATCAGCTTATCTGCTTTTTGAATACTGTTAGGATATGACCCTGCTCCCTTTGGAATCAACAGCAGTTTTTTGCATTGGCTATGAAAGAGACAAGACTTGGCCATAGGGAAGAAATACCTGCAGAGGAGATTGTTTTAGTGGCTTCATGGCAGATTAAGAAAAATCTGGCAGTCATTTTTGATCATGTTATGTATATATCTAGGCTGATGAAAATGTGCCACTGAAAATTTCACAGTGTTTAGAAAGGAAGGCTCTCCAGGAGGAATTTGTTGTGATTCTTCTACAGTAGCAAAGTCAATTTGTCCAACTTCACTTTCCTCCCTGGTCTCCAGCATATTCACCAAGATTTGTCTTTGTGATTAATGAAGTTAAAGGAACTTTTTGTCATAAAAGAGAGAGAAGGTATTTCCTGAACCAATACAGACCCCCCCACGTGACATCAGGTTAGCCTATTCCAAGGTGAGAGTATAAACTGCAACTTGTTTTAGGTGAGTCTGACAAGGCACTCTGGTCCTGACCCAGCAGAGCCATTGAATGTGTAACTGAAGTCACTGGTTTACATCCCGCTCAGTGCAGCAATAAACAGGATCTCTTGTTCTTTTGTTTTCCTGAGTTCCTCCCTGCTTCCTGGACTGCTGTAGGCTGAGCCTATTATAACTGGTTGAAATGATTCAAATATTCAAAAATTAGAGGAACATTTGTTTTAGGAAGGAAAAAAAAAGAGAAAAGAAAGAAAGAGGGAGAATGGCAACAGAAACACACTTCCAGATCTGCATATGAAATAGAACAAAATATGTGCACCTTTCTGAAGTGACACGGATTCTTTCATCATTTGAGGAATTGAATTTGTCATCCTTTTCTCTAAAATATTCTTCTATGCACTGCTCTTCAAAATCATGGACTTTTTTCAGTTCATCCTCAGTTATGAAAAGTTCTGTAGAAACAACGGAAAGAATGTGAGCCTGGCAAACCACTTTAACATGTGAAATTAACTCCAGTCTTCTTACAGCAGAATTCATGGACTAAACTTTCAAAAGCAGGCTTCAAGTTTATCTGGCATTTTGGTATGAAATCAGATGCATCTAATTACCAAATTAGTGGCTTCAATTATATATGATTCTGGAGACAGCAACACTTTAGCAAGCAAACACTGTGCAAACATGAATGCTTTCTGATTGCATGAGATCTAAACACAGCTGCTGGTCAGGACCTGGAGAGACGGTGGGGGCCAAAACCCACTTGTAACCTAATACACATATAATCAAATTCAGAGACTGTTAGGAAAGGAGTCTGAGAGCATGGAGGGTCTGTTTGACATTGCAGGAGCTGAGATCTGCTGGAAGCAGCAGGGGCTGGGGCAGACATGGTGAGGGCTGAGGGGGCAATCTGGTTGCACTTGCATCTCCAGTGGCACAGCCTGTCTCCAGCTCTCTCCTTCTAGAGAGATGGGCTGTAGTGTGGGCTAGCATTGGGCAGAGGTGCACCTCCCTGAACTCCCTACCTCTGACATATATGGTGAGGGAGCTGGAGACACCTTTCAGTTTTGTGGCATTATGCTGGAGATGCAAGTGTGGCCAGCGCAGTAGCAGGCATGCGGAGAGGGATTCATGCTTTGGCATGAGACGATATTAAAAGCCATCTGCCTCTAGATCCACAGCAAGTTAGGGTAACTCCAAAAAGGAAACTTGGAGAGGAGGGGGAGCTAGTTAGGCTGGGAAGAGAGAGGAAGAAGAACAAGATGGGGAAGAGGGGAGAAAGTATTATCAAAATAATCTAACAGGTTTTCAGTCGTGCTTATGGGAGTTCATTAAAGTGTTTGGAGACACCACTCCTCTGGTTTTAATCAGTATCAAGGAGAGAATGTGTCTACAAAATAATTACTCCACATCATCTCTCAGTTTATCTACACGTCTAGGCAAAAAGCACATTGAGGGAATGTATGTGCTGTTTGCTTTAAAAATAGGAATGCTACCTCTGCAATTTCAGCAATAAGACTGAAGACCTGGAAGCATGATGGACTGTAAGAAGAATTCCAGCAATAATAGACTACTAAGAACAACAAAACAAAATCTTTTGCTTTGAAAGAAAAAAAAAAGCCCAAGAACAACAGAGCCTCATTAATAGTCTCAAGAGAACTAAGAGTTGGGGAATGCAGGTGAAACTAACTGGTTCAGGTAAGAATTTTGTAGTTAAAAGTAGTTCTCTACTGAAAAGCTTATTTAAGTGCTGGACTCAGCCTCCATTCACATCAAACAGTAGATATGACCAAGGGCATTAGAAAGTTCCCTTCTGTAAATTGCTCAAGGCTTACTTAATCCGTAGTCTCTCTCATCTGGGTCACTTTCATGTTTCCGCCATCTACAGCAGAGGTGTTGGAATATCATAGTCATATGGCTGAAAATGATCAGAGGTGGTGGGAGAACTGGTCTTTCATGAAATGTCATGATTAGTTGATACCTTTGAAACTTCCATACTTGGTTAGATATGGATTTGACTTCAAAAAATGTATTGCTAGAAAGAGAGAAGAGGAAAAACAAATCAAATTTAAATGTTTTTGGGTGCTTTTCCAGAGATGGTAAGACAGCACTTCTAACCTTAACTGGACACACATTAGTGTGTTTCCTTATCACAAAGAAGGAAAAAGAACATATGAAATGGACAAAATAAGTTACTATCCCTTCAGTGAAGCCCAGTGGCTCTATCAGCCATTTCAAAAGTACGTTACTACTAATTAATCCTGCTCTATACAGCCGTTGAGCGTTACAGCAACCCAATGACACAAGGAATTATTTTTATTTTCATTTTCTGTATCGGGAGTGAATGATGCTATAACTGAACTCTGAATGCTTGGTTTCTCTGCTCACACTTACACTGAGTGTCCGTCCCTCGGACATGAGACAATTTAAAGAGCTGGGTACTTTCCTCATTCCCTGGAGACAAGCTACTGTCTCTCACCTTCTCACCCTTCCCTCCTCTGAAAATGGCTCTCAGCCAAAGTCTTTGGCTTAGCTGCCTTCTTAGACCATGAATAACCCCACTAAATCCATACTTAGCAATGTGCCACTCACTTGAAAACAGCAATGAGGAGGTTTACCAAAAGGATATTTGCAACCAAGAGGTAACAGGCCATGATGGCAGGAACGATCCATGCTCCTGTCTTGCAAGGAGGCAGCTGGATTATTTTGCCATCTTCTCTGGTTTCATTTTGACCACAGGGAGCTGGGAACAAAATGCAAACAAGCAAAAGAGGAATGAATCTTATTTTTTCAGTGCTTTTAACAGAAGTATTTAAATATTTATGAAGGCCCTCTCCCACCAAAACAATATCCTCCAAATAAAAGTGGCATTGATGCTCCCCCAAATAAATTTACACTTGCTATAGATGGTGGTGATAAAGTGCTTGTCAGATTTATCACAGATTTTAAGAGCTGCTGTTCATGATGTTGAATGCTGTTTGCCATTAATCACAAGATATTCCCCTCAGAAATGTCAGGAGGCCTGTCTGGTGTGAGTGAGCTGGCTGTCTCGTACTGCTAAAATACCATAGTATTCTGGTAGTAATTAGTGGCTGTGCAAATACTGATGAAATCATGCTTAACCACTCTGATAGCCTTCTATGATGGGAGTGACTGGCTGGGTAGGTGAGGGGAGAGCAGTGGATGTTGTCTCCCTGGACTTCAGCAAGGCTTTTGACACTGTCTCCCATCACATCCTCCTAGGTAAGCTCAGGAAGTGTGGGTTGGATGAGTGGACAGTGAGGTGGATTGAGACCTGGCTGGATGGCCGAGCTCAGAGGGTTGTGGTGAATGGCGCAGAGTCTAGTTGGAGGCCTGTGGCTAGTGGTGTCCCCCCAGGGGTCAGTCCTGGGTCCAGTCTTGTTCAATGTATTCCTCAGTGACCTGGAGGAAGGGACAGAGTGCCCCCTCAGCAAGTTTGCTGATGATACTAAACTGGGGGGAGAGGCTAACACACCAGAAGACTGTGCTGCCATTCAGAGGGACCTGGACAGGCTGGAGAGCTGGGCGGAGAGGAACCTCATGAAGTTCAACAAAGGCAAGTGCAGGGTCCTGCCCCTAGGGAGATGAGCCAGCAGTGTGCCCTTGGGGCCAAGAAGGCCAAGGGTCTCCTGGGCTGCATGAGGCAGAGTGTTGCCAGCAGGTGGAGGGAGGTGATCCTGCCCCTCTACTCAGCCCTGGGGAGGCCTCACCTGGAGTCCTGTGTCCAGTGCTGGGCTCCCCAGTGCAAGAGAGACATGGCACTACTGGAGAGAGTCCAGCGGAGGACTACTGAGATGATGAGGGGACTGGAGCATCTCTCCTATGAGGAAAGGCTGAGGGAGCTGGGCCTGTTCATCCTGGAGAAGAGAAGACTGAGAGGGGATCTCATCAATGTGTACAAGTATCTGAAGGGAGGGTGTCAAGAGGCTGGGGCCAGTCTCTTCTCCGTGGTGCCCAGGGACAGGACAAGAGGCAACGGGTGCAAACTGAAACACAGGAAGGTCCATCTGAACATGAGAAAAAACTTCTTTCCTGTGAGGGTGACAGAGCCCCGGCACAGGTTGCCCAGAGAGGTAGTGGAGTCTCCTTCCCTGGAGAAATTCAAAACCCGCCTGGATGTGATCCTGTGCAATGTGCTCTAGAGGACCCTGCTTGAGCAGGGGGGTTGGACTAGATGATCTCCAGAGGTCCCCTCCAACCTTGGCCATTCTGTGATTCTGTGAAAATGCTTAATCCTGTGAAAAGCTAACATATTAGTTTTTTTACTGGTGGAAGTTTGATCTTTTTTGATGGATAGAGACGGATATGATAAATAACATAAAAGTATAATAAGTGCACAAAACTAAAATAAGGAATAGACATTTATTCCTGTGCACTGCACTGCCTAGAGTCCCTCTGAAAGATATTCATAACAACCCTCTGCTATTAAGGACTTTTGACTGCATGCCTAGAAACAACGGGGGAGATTATCAAGTCTTTACTGTACCAGGTAAAGGGGCAGGTAGGCAGCGAAACTGCCACCTGTTTCTTCCCTGAATGTTTTAGAAACGAAACAGTCTTTGTATTAATATTGTAGATCTGAGGCAAGCAGGGAAAAAACATTGCAAAATGGTTTGCGTTACTTCTTTCTTTTACATGCCTTCATGTCCTTCAGCAGAAAGTCTGCATTTGCAAGTGTGGGTTCAGTTTATTCCCTTCTAGCCTCAAGCTGCCCTAGCGATATTGGTCCCAAGTCTCTAATCAGCTCTTCAAGGAAATCACTGAAGAAGTGGCTTACACATATTCTATCACAGTAAATTTTGCTCAGCACTGCAGCTAGCTTCCCCTTGTCCCCATCAAAAAGAAAAAGAAGATTCAAGTGAGGAATTTCCATGTACTCTGCATTGGCTCAGATCTGCAGTCCAGCTGATATCAATGAGTGTTTCCCACTGACTTCAAGGAGAGCATAGTTCACCAATGCTGCATGTTTTGTAAAATCCTGCCCTGCATCAACAAATCCATGATCTACCAAGTATTATTTCTTTTAAAAATGTTCATTCTGACCTTAGTTCACAGAGTATAGGATTCAACCGCGGGTGATTGTATTGTGAATGGTATGATATTAAGTGTCACTTGGGTATTTGTTTTTGAACACTACATGAAGATGTTAGGCTATTGCATATAGACATAATATAGGTTTATGGGACAGAAGAGTATGTGCTACATCAGCTTCAGACATGAATTCTCCCAAAGTGTTCAACTCAGAAAAAAGAAATGGCAAAGCCAAATATAAGCAATGCTACTTTTAGCAGCAACTCTGCTGAGTCTGGACCAAAAATCTACATTGATATTAGTATTTCCCACTTATAAAAATACATGTTATCACTGGAACAGGCTCAGAGCAAGCAATTCTTCATTTCTCAGAAAACATTGCCCTTGCAGATCTTTTCAGTTAGTACTGATTTTGTGCTTCCTGCACTGCTCTGGTGCAGTTTCATTTAGGCATCCAAAATGCCATTTGTGAGCTGCTGGATTTCTTGTGCTAAGTGCACTCAGCCTTCATCCAGCAGAAACAGGGACATTGGACACTTCTTGGCATCAGCCTCAAAATGAGACTTTATGGTTTTGTTTGTATGGAAACACTAACTTACTCACATGCTGATTCAGAGCTACAAAGTCCAACAGAATACAGTACCTAAACCCATCATGTTTTCACCAGTAATGGAACAATCACTGCATGAGCTGATGAAACCTGTTGCCTTTTTATGTGCTGAAGCACACAACAAATAGTGTCTTTTGTAGCAATGAGAGAAATTTCTGAAAAACATATTTTAAACCATAGATCAGGGATATCAGAAGTTTAGGCCGAAGTCTGGCTACAATCCTGTTATCCCATTTTTTTCTATTAAAAAAGAGATTTTCCTCTAAAAAACCCTCCAGCTTTGAAAACTACCTAGACAAAGAGGATTTCTCCAACTTTCTTTTGGCTACCACACAGGATTTAGAGTATTATTAATGCGTCCTTGTCAGTGTATGCCACACAGTGATGGCCAAATTAGACTTCCTATGAAGACAAGCTTCCATAGTGTTCTGTTCTATTCATACACAGGTATTTGACTTTTCCTGGATGTTTACCAAAGCTTTTAGCTTTTGTCAGTTCTGTTGGGGGAGCAGTTTTTAAATGACAATTTTGTGCCTTACTTTATAGGGATCTAAAGCACGACTCACCCTTCAGATCTACTGCTGCATGATAAAAAGTGTGATGTGTGACCAAAATGCAGAAACTTGTGTTCCATTGAACATCAAACCAAAATTAACATTTTACTCCAGTTTTAGACTATAAAATTAGTTTTTAAAGGATTTTGTTCCACTATTAAATAAATTATTTGTTCAAAAATTAATTAGTCCCAGAAAATCAGAAACTAAAATTTCTCCCTTTTTTAAAAAGGGCAGATAAATCTGACAACTGGCTAATAGTAGCAACGATATTATTTTAGATAACAAAAATACTTGCTTATGTTTAAGAAACTAGAGTTCTATTTGGCCACTTTAAATATTTTTGGAGAAATACAATAATTTTTGTAGCAAGTAAACTACTTCCATGACGACAAACTTTTTCAAAGCACAATTTTAACATGCATGAAAATGTATTCTTACATCTTTTCACGTTATGGCCTTGTTTTAGCAAAGTTATGTAGACTACTTAATTCTAGTGAAGTGTTTTGTTGAAGCAAATTCTGTTAGTGTAACTACATGCGTATTTCACGTAACCAAAAAAAAAAAAAAAAAAGGTAATCTGATACCTGCAGACCATTGGATGAAGGCAGGACATTGACTCCTGACCTCAGAAATGCTTTAAAAGATAATAATTGCCTGGAGTTTTAATTTCAGTTATATGTGTTAACTTCACTCAGCTTTCAGACATTGCATTCTGACATCTGTAGATGTACGTATTTTTTGCATCTTTCGTTTCCTTTTTCATAATCTCCTCCTATGTTTGTTTTCCCTTCCTGGCTTGCCTTTACAGTTTCCTGCATGGGCCTTTCCTGCTGCATACCTAATCCTTCCTCTTTCCTGGCCAGCTAATCATTGGAGACCAAACAGCAGCAACCCATGTCTCTGTTTTGGGCCTAAAGCATTAGCAGGGCTCAGGCCTCGGGCTGTGTTTACAGGCAGAGTATATTCCCCTGGTGCAATTACAGGCATGACATGGGCACTGCTCATTTTTAATGTGTGTTGGGTGGAGGGCTTGGGAAACAACACTTGCAAATTGTGGTGGCATGACTCTTCCCCCAGCTACACCCTTCCAAAGGAGTTGTGGGAAATAACAGAGAGAGGAAAGCGCATAATTTAACAGCTTTGTTACCAAATAGCTTTTTGTCTTTGATGAGAACTTCTCATTTAAAAATGGATACGACTTTTACAACACAGGTTTAATTGTTTAGAAACACAAGAACCTGCTGAATGGGTACATATGATCACAAATCAAAAAAATAAGGAAACCAATATGTGAGTATCAAGTAACAAACAAACCCATCTTCTTTATTCAAATTTGGACATCTGAAATATACTTTTATCATCCTGCTTATGAATATATGGGCGCCTTCCAATTTTGATCACCACTGAATCCAAAGGATGCAAAAGCATTTGATAATTATTTAATGGAATGCCTAAACAACCTTGTGTTAATGGTTTGCCAGGCTGGTAAATATTGAAAAAAGGCTAAATGAGCTGCCTGGGGCTGTTTACTTCTTCACTGACAGAGAAAGTACTGAACTCTGGGAAGCCTCGAATCTCACACCATTGCTCTGGTCACCAGAGAAACATCCAGGAAATTGAACAGGGTCTCATTGCTTCAAGTATGTTGCTTTAACTATAGTATTGTGACCTTATGTATTACTTTTTGCCCTCAGCCACATTAAAAACATCCTTCAAGCATCTCTCCTATCCACTGGTATTTTAATCACCTTTCATGGAAATCTACGTATTCTTCTTGTTCTTCCTAATCCTTGCTTCCTCCTCCTCCCCTCATTAAAAATATCATGCCAAATGCAACCCAAAATGTGAGATGAGAGGAGTGCTAGGAAAGTAAAGACTCCTCTGGCGCAGGCCAAAGAGACTCTTAAAATGGCATGTAGGCTGTGCACAAATATTATCCCTTGCCTTTGTCTAATAGCGCTAAAAATATTGTCTGTACTGCAGAGCTGAAATACAAAAAAACACAGAAGAGCACAGGTATGGTTTATTCTGTTTCGTGCAGAGCTGCTCTGTTAGTTCTAATTCCAGAATGATCCATGCAGATTACATCCCTTATAGAAAAGTCCTATAGAGACATAAAAAGGATGAAATCCCAAGACCTATAGAATTTAGAATAAAATTTTCACTTATACTAAGAAACCTTAAAAACTTCTAGGGGATTTAAATAAATTCTAAGAAACCAAGAAACTTAAAGAATTTAAATAAATGTCCTTTATGTTAATTATGCTTTTCTCTTAAATTCATTAGATAGTTAAAACCTGTGCATACTAATTTATCTTTCCTCTTATACTGGAACAACTGCATTCTGGTTACTGGGCATTGCTCCAATGTAAGTGAAAGAGAAGGAGGCCCCATCCTTTTCTCTCAAACTATATAGGACTTTCCAATAAGGGAGTAGGCACAGGGAACAAACACAACGCAGACTGATCCTCAGATTCCAGATGGCATTTGAAATACTGTCAGCTGGAAAGAAAATCCAGATGCAAATCTGAAAAACAACCCAAACAAAAAAAACAAGCCCCTGTTGGCTAACAGCACTCTCAGTTGCTTCACATTCTAAATATAGGAAAATGTGAAGTCTAATGCTGATTTTCTAAAGGTGACTGCCATTTCTCAAGATGCCATTTATGATATCTGTCTATACTTTTTACCCAGCAAACTCACTCCCTGGAATAATCCTTCCCTCTTCAGTATTTCTCATATACCTCTGTACCCATACTATTCTGGAGAGGTAGATAGCTCGGTAAGGTGAAAAAAAAGTTTTTTTGCATGTGTCAAGCCCATCCTTAATTTCTTTGGCTAAAGTTGTCAGCAATAATGTCAAAGTAAGTGAGGCAAACTGAGGGAGAGATTTGATGATAGTGAACGCCTGTCTGGTTAACTGGCTGGCTGTTACCCCATGGATCCCATCAGTCAGCATAAGGCTGAGCTGGATTAGAAAAGACAGCCTAAAAGTGAGACAATTCCACATACCATCACAAGTTCCCCGACCCAGACCCCCTCTTCCTCCTCCAGTTAACAAGGCTGTGATGAACTGTCAATCTGAGAGGAGCTACCTTTCAGTTTCAATTTTGGAACTGGTTTTGCTTTTTTTGTTGAATTTGCCTGAAAAGTTGAACATAGTTCTAAAAGATTTGCTCTGCTTTTTTTCCTTTACAGTTGATTGATAGTCAGGAATTTGTAGGAATATACTATTTATGTACAGCACTGATAATAAACCACACCACTGAATAATGTATTCAAACTCCCAGAAGTGAGGATATAATTCTGTCCCCACTTTTGAGTTGCAGATGAGATCACATGCCGACAGTACATTAATGCACACACCAGTTAAAGTATGTATTTTTAATATGGAATGAATACAGGCACGATGGGTAAAAAGTATAAATGTATAAGACATGCATTATTTTAGACATTTAGCTAGTGTTTTAACAGTGCAGTGTGTTGAGATAAAAATCAGAGTAGACCCACTGGACGGACAGGCTGCCAGCTGATGGGATGGATCCAGACATTGTATCTGGTCAGCCTTAATGGCATGCTTTACAAATCAACAGAAAGTGGAAGAAAAGAAAAGAAAAATAAGTCAGAAATTTTAGAGTAACATATACTATTTGTACATTTCTCAAACACACTAGGATAATCTCCAGGAGAATAGCTCAAAGGTATATGCATTTCCAAGATCAGCACTTTTGCTGAATCCCAAACTTGTAAATAACATAGAAATATGAAATAACAGTATTCTAAAGAAAACCACAAAGAAACCCTTTTGGTTTGCTAGACAAACAAACAAACAAAAACCCTCTCCAAGCTATGAAGTTCAACTGCAGTTTAGATATAGCATAAAAATTTTAGTACGTTTATCATATTTGAGAAAGTACCAACACTCTGTAGCACTCTAAGAAGAATACAGTGGCTGATTTAGCTTAGACCAACTTGAAAAATATATGACAGTAAATTTGCAAATAGTAAAAAAATGCAAATATCTTAGCAAAACCTTTTGGGTGCCAATCAGGTCATTTTGATTGTATAGCAACATCACCAACCATTTGCTCATGCTCCCAGTCTATTCCAGAGGTAACATTTTTGAGACAACTGAGTCTCAGGCAGGCATAACATATTGCACGTAATTTGTGCTGAAAGAGTGGCAGATTCTAATTCCCTGCATCATCTGTCTCTCAGGAAGGAGGAACTAGGTGTTGCTTTTCATCACTACTTTTGCGGCAACTCCTGGTTTCCTCGACTCAGACAGAAGAACAACATGTCCACACTTATAGCTGGGGTTGAAACTGTCAGGAATTTTACTTTCCCTAAGCCTCAGAGTAATTACCCTGCATCTTTTTGCAAGGTTTAAATGTTGGGCATCTGAATAACACACAAGATTACCCCTAAATCCTTATGCAAGGGTATGGAGTCTGCCACCCTCTTGTTATACTTAAAAAGCCATGCTTCATTCAAAACCACTTTTATTTCTGAGGTTTCAGAGTTCTAAACTACAATCAGCACTTCATTAAAATAAATATACCAAGAACATCTTATTCAGCCAATTGCCACATTTGTTGCACTATGCTAGTTACTTAGTACAACATCAATAAATGGCCACTTGTAGAGGGACAGGCAGAATTCTGCTTGTGGAAGGGAACCACAATTTAAAGGGATAAACCTTTATCCCTCTATCATGCCTTTGGAACAAGATGAACTGTTAATACCCCCAACTATCATGCCTTTGGAATGAAATGCATTTTTAAAAAGAAAAGAAAAGGAAAAAAAAAATGGGCTCAGGTAAAAAGCTAAACTCAAGGAGAAGCTTTATGCTTTTATGTATTTGCTTACTTCCTTGCATGCCATGCTGCCTCTGAGAACAAAGTGGAGAGGTAATCATGAAAAAGAGATTTTATTTGCATCTACAGTACTGATTCTGTGCTCACCAGGAAGAAGAAGAAATACAAATGGCACTGCTGAAATATCTGTCTTATGATATATATACATCTGTCCATCTGAAACTCCTTAACTGTGTGTGTGGGGGGGATTCATGGTGATACAGATACATTTGTTATCCTCTGGACCTAATCAGTCCTAACCCATCCTTTTTTCCATTCAAACTTTTTCAGTGCTGAACAAGCAGAAGATCAATTATGAAAACACTGTCCTCTCCTAGGGCAGTACATAGGATAAAAAGGAATACCTTAAGTATAGGTTTAATAGATTCTATCTACCATTGGAAGAGATACTCACTTGTAAATGCTGCCAAGACCAATGAACATTTAAGTAGAAATTATGAACATAATTTATATGTCAGGGTTTGTTAAAGATAGGCTATTTGTGATTCTTAGTTTGTTCTATTCATCATACTGCATCATTTTGCATGACCACCCATCTTCTTTGGCATAATGCACCAGGTGGCACCAGGAGGTTTAATTTAAATAGAAAACTGGTATTTTCCTTATCACCAGCCAAATGAATCCTGAGGAGATAGTATATGAAATGCTGGCTTTTGTTCTGTTTGCACTGATGTGAGCACTCTTGCCTTCCAATAAATAAATAAAGCATAATTCTAATAATGGATCTACTGTCCCCAAAGAATTGCATCACATGGTTTAGCATAAGGGTGGTGGCAGTGAGAAAGTTACGGAGAAAAGAAAACACAGTGGATTAGATCCTCATGAAGTGGCAGAGCTGAAGGTCTAACCCAATATTATTAGACTCAGTACTCGGTATAAAGTTAGGTAAAAAGCATTTAGGTCTAAAATCAAACCAATGGATGAAAGAAAAAGAAGTGACTTTTTGTGTCCCAGATATACCAAAGAACTCATCATGGATACCTGGGAGGTTATCTCATCTCCATCATCCAACTGGTAAAAAGAACCATTTAGAAAGTTATTTAAATGCAAGGTAAATTTAGCATTACAGATTTCTGATTAAATAATTGGAAAATGATGCTAGAAGCATATTCTAAAATTGGTACCCCAATATTAGCAATAGAAATATTTTTGTGACCATTCTCTGTGATGGAGGAGTCCTCTATCCTGAGCCATTTATTGAGAACATGCACATGATCTAGTAAGACATCATCTGATCAAAGTTGGATACCTGACTTTGGAGTATGAGAATCATAAACTTGCTTACGGTCTATCTGGTCTGCAAACACTTCCCCATAGATCATCCAGTAAGGCATGTAAAAAATGTTTTTTGCCAGCTTCCATGAAGGCTCCTCATTGGGGAAGAGAATAGCCTGTCTCGCAACGCCAAAGCTCATCAGAACCACCAACATGATGATGACAAAATACATCATGTCTATCATCTGAAAGTCATGAGAGGAAAAGAGAGGGAGAGAAAGAGATAGAAGGGACAAGAATTAGAGAAATTTATTTGTCTATATTTCTATCATTCTATACTACAAAAAGTTTGTAAATCTTAGAGTTTTCAAAAACAACTTCTGAAAATACACTCTCAATTTTACACATAACATTTCATTTTCAAAGAAGGGAAGTGGTATTGTGTCCTTGGTTTTCCCCAGTCTTCCTTTTAAGAACAATTTCAATGGTATGAATAGGCTTGAAAATACAGACTACCATCTGGTCACATCAGTTGCCTGAACAGCAATATAGGTTCACTGGCATCAGCAAAGGGCACAAGATGATATATTGTTTTTAGGCACCTAATGGCAACTGTACCAAAACAGAAGAGCTGACATGGATTATTTTATTCACTAGTACTCATTGTCTTGGAGCAAAGGAAGGAAGCTGCATCTAACATAAGGAATAACGGGCGGCAGAACAGCCTGTTATTGCAGCATAAGGGACACCACAGTCTTAACCAGTGAGAAAGGAAAGCTGTGATACTGGCTGGACTAGAAATCAGCCTGATGGGGGAGTTTGACAAAGGCCATATTTAAAAAAAAAATGCAGATAACACAGGCACTCAGCCCTATTCTTCTCCACTGTTGAATGGCTCATTAGCATATGCACAACTTTAATTAGCGCCTGCAAACGATGTCTACCCATTCAAAATGTTCCTGGAAAAAGTGGGACAGCAGTCCTAGGATATACTGAATAGAGGCTGAAGATAAGAACAGGAGCTGTGCTAGCAGTATAAGTGAGACCCTCAAGAGAGCAGAGCAAAGGAGAAACCTTGGACATCAAACAGATCTAGCACAGATGCTTTATAATCCAAAATGATTGTGAAAAAAATGGTAGTCCTGTAAGGTCTCTTGTAAGATCCCTTTAAATGTTTTCATTATTATGGCCTTCAGTTATACTTATGCTCAGTAACTTATGTCTCTGGCCAATACTCAACCCAGAGTAACTCTAAAATTTTTTGAATTTTAATCTTTACAGATTTCTTTTCTCTGCATTTTCTGGCTCAGCCGCATTCTGCCTTCAGTGCAAGGTGTGGGCTGGGCAGGCGTACAACCAATGTGCCCCCAAAGTGAGGGACATATAGCTTCACGGCTACCTGCTGCAGCTCAGGAGCGGGGCTGCCCATGACAAGAGCTGACAGAAGAGGGGACCCATTTGTAGCAGGTGGATCTGCCATTGCTGCTGGGGTTCTTTAGCTTCAAAGCATGAGGAGAGAGACATGAGGTCAAAATAACACTGGAAAACTATTTGCTGGAGAAAAGAGAGGGACACAGAGGAGCAAACAGAAAAGGATATTCTTACACTTACTGAGAGAGAGGCTGTAAGATAAAGACACCTGTGGGGCAGGGCCCTGGTGGGAGAGTCTTGAGGAGCTGGAAGGAAGGAACTGGGGATAGGTGAAAAAAAGCAGGGGGAAAATGAAAATAATGAAAATCTTGAGGTACATCAAAAATGTAGGAAAGAAAGAAAAAAAATGGGGAGATGGGAGAGGAAAATAAATGTTATAAAGAATTAAAAAATGGACAAGTAAATCATTAACATTCCTATGTTATTCAGGGTATTAATCTCTTGAGAAAACCTGGCTGAAGAGGAAATCCAGACCATTATGTCTCAGAGAGCATCCTGAAATGGGGAATCTGCATAATTACACTAGTTCTTACTGCTTTTAGAGAAGAAACTTGTAGATGAAACCCATATCCTCTTTCCTCCTCTGATGAAACTTTGATTTCAGATAGAAAGATATAATATGATATAATGTAATATAATATAAATAAATTTCATACAAGTAAGTAAACATAATGAGCATTTCATGGTAATTTAAGATAATTTCTTAAAAGCTTCCAATGTTTTTAATCAGGAATCACACAGGTTTGAACTCATGTTGGAAGAAATAAAAATTTCAGTGTTGCCTTTTATCCAAGCAGTATATTAGCTTTTCACTCCTTCAGTTGGCTGTCTTTTAAAAACCTCAGTAGCTTGGCTGAAATCTTGTGAAATAGATGGAGGCCTTTCCACTCACTGTAACGGGCAGTGTATCAGGTCCTTTGGCCTGCAGGGCCAAATTACAATCGCTATTTTAACAAGGTTATGGCCATTTCAGTCATTCCAAAGAACTCTTCAGTTACTGGTGTAAAAAAGTGATAAAGCAGCAATGTGTTAGTGCAGTTTTATAAACTAGCTGGCTCCATTGCTCATTTGGGATTGCAGAGAAATTAAGAAAATGTAGACATTCATGCATAGGAGGGGAGCTGATACACTTCTGACCCTCTTGACGTGCCACAGGGATTTCATTCCATTCCCAAATGGAAAGGGTGTAATTCTACCCTTGTGCAGAGATCAGAAAGCACATTATGATAAGCACAGTGTGGTACTGAAATTAGCTGATAATAGTAAACTCAGCCATTCATCTTCTTATTTCTCATCTCTTCACCTTTACTTTAGACCATTGCCTTTAAACCTCACAAGCCCATTCCTGTCCCTCCTTTAATTTCACAGGAATATTTGCTCACAGGGCCCAAAGGTAACGCTTATTATTACAGCAATTTTGTTGGATGCAACATAGATGCAAGTGAAGCAAGAGAGCTATAACATTGGAAGGCTGGAGAGATTCATCTTTTGCCTCCTGAGTCTAAAACTTGCTCCCAGTAAAAGCTCTATATAAAAGCAAAGGCTATAGAGTGCATTAAAGATGGAGGCTATGGATTGCCTTTTGAAGAACCCAGTAGCTATGATGGGCTTACTCTGTAGAAATATGTGTAATCAGCTCAATCCCCTCCACTGTGCTGTATGGTACTGGCAAGACCATGGAATTAAAAAGGAGAGAACCCAAGGAGCTAAAAGGGAATGTGTTTTAAACAAAAATACACAGGGGAGCCCACTGCAGCCAGGAGCAAGTGTAACTCCCAGGGAAGCCTGTGCATGATCATGCATCAATATAAAGGGGATGGCCATTACACATGTCAATAAGCTGGCCAGAAAACAGGTGCAAGAGGCAAATTTATGTAACTCACACCAGTTGGGCATTCCATGTGTGGGCAAAAAGAATGAGGTATTAAACTAAATAACAGGAAGGCATAAAATAAAACAACTTCCCTCCTTTAGCAGATGCCCACACCTTCAGAGTACTCTGGCAGCTAAATTCAACCCCCTCTGAGTGGGTGCCAAGCCCATGGAGGCTAGTGATTTTCCTGCATTTGTTTTCCACAGAATACAGAAGTGGAATGAGGCTTAATTCATTGTACACATGTGAGGATGCCAAAGTGATGGAAATTATATTAGTTGTTGCTTTCAACCATTTCCTTTCTGCGTTGACCCCAGGAGAAAAATATACGACCATTTATACTACTGCTGAAGCTGGGCTCCTATCAGTCCTCCGTAACACTGACAGCTAGAACTTTGTTTATTCATGGCCAATTTGTTTATTATTGGTTTTCATTATTTCATTATTCATTATTTGTAGTAAGCACGGATTCACCAAAGGGAAATCATGCTTAACCACTCTGATAGCCTTCTATGATGGGAGTGACTGGCTGGGTAGGCGAGGGGAGAGCAGTGGATGTTGTCTCCCTGGACTTCAGCAAGGCTTTTGACACTGTCTCCCATCACATCCTCCTAGGTAAGCTCAGGAAGTGTGGGCTAGATGAGTGGACAGTGAGGTGGATTGAGAACTGGCTGGATGGCCGAGCTCAGAGGGTTGTGGTCAGTGGCGCAGAGTCAAGTTGGAGGCCTGTAGCTAGCGGTGTCCCCCAGGGGTCAGTCCTGGGTCCAGTCTTGTTCAATGTATTCCTCAGTGACCTGGAGGAAGGGACAGAGTGCCCCCTCAGCAAGTTTGCTGATGATACTAAACTGGGG